AGAATCAATCTTCAAAATCCAAAGCCAACGCTGAGTGTGGTGGTGCATAACCTTAATACCAGCACTTGGAGGAGGCAGGCAGATCTCAATTCAAGGCCAACCTGCTGTACATAGTGAGTTGCAAGCCAGCCAAGGCTATATAATTAAACTGTCTCAAAAAGAAACCCCCTGGATGGTGGTGGCCCATGCCTTTAATCCCAGCACTCTGGAAGCAGAGGCAGGCCAGGCAGAGAAACACTGTCTCAAAAAAAAAAAAAACAAAAAAACAAAAGAAAAAGAAAAAGAAACCCAACCAAAATCAACAGCAACAAACCCCTTTAGATTTTTTTTTTGGTTTTTTGAGACTGGGTTTCTCTGTAGCTTTGAAGGCTGTCCTGGAACTAGCTCTTGTAGACCAGGCTGGTCTCGAACTCACAGAGATCCAACTGCCTCTGCGCCTCTGCCTCCTGAGTGCTGGGATTAAAGGCGTGCACCACCACCACCCAGCGTTTTTTGGTTTTTTGAGACAGGGTTTCTCTGGCCTTGAACTCACGGAGATCCACCTGCCTCTGCCTCCTGAGTGCTGGGACTTTTAAAAGGCGTGCGCAACCACCACCCAGCTCATACATAGTAATTTTTATTATGGCATTTTCAAATGTGTATTTTGACCATACCCACTGATCCTTTTTCCTGTTCCTAGTTTCTCTTTCTTCTGTCATGCATTGTGCTTGTGATGCAGTTTTAGTTTCATTTTCTGTCCTGAAACTTGCTCTGAAGACCAGGCTGACCTTGAACTTACTGAGATCTGCCTGCCTCTGCCTCCTGAGTGCTGGGATTAAAGGAGTACGAAGAGTTTAATTAAGTGTACTCTCTGTCTCTGTCTGTCCCTTTGTCCCTCCCTCCCTTTTTCCTCCCTTTCTCTCTCCCTTCCCCCCAACTCCGCCCCTCTCATCATGTTGCTCCACTGGCCTTGAACTATTCTCCTTCCTCAGCCTCCCAAATAGCTGAGTGTTCAGGAGTACAATTGTACCCAGTTAAAATTTTGGACTAGTTATTTTTCTTGAGATAGGGTCTCCGTATGTCAAAGCTGACCTGGAACTCACTATGTAGACTAGGCTGGCCTTAAACTCAAGAGAACCACCTCCCGCTGCTTTCTGCATGCTGGGATTAAAGTCACCATACCTGGCTTGGACATTACCAAAGCTTAATGACATTAACAGTTACCATATTAAAGGGCAAGAAAAGCACCTTGCTGAGTGCTTTATAAATAATCTCATTTGAATGAGAGGGTAGATAAATAATCTTAACAGCCTTTCACTGTGTCATTTACTCTAGGGTACAAATGGAACCTCTAGTATAAGTGAAATTTATATTTAGACTTAATTCACTTTGATAATGGGGGTGTGAAGTTAGTAGAAGTAGGCCAGAGAGCAAATAAATGTGAAAACTAGAAATAATGAATTTATAACTTTTTTTAAAAAAGATTTTATGTATACAACATTCTGCTTCCATGTATATCTGCACACCAGAAGAGGGCACCAGATCTCATAACGGATGGGGTTATTTATAACTCTTTGTGGAAATTTTTTTTTAAGTAATTTATTTTTTTTATGTGCATTGTTGTTTTGCCTACAGTTTTTGTCTGATCTTGGAGTTACAGACAATTGTGAGCTGCCATGTGGGTGCTGGGAGTTGAACAGTCAGTGCTCTTAACTGCTGAGCCATCTCTGCAGCCCCGTGGAAATGGTTTTAGAGGTTAAGCATACCTATAACCCAGCATTTGGGAAGTGAGGCAGGTGGCAGTTTTGTATCCATAGTGAGTTTGAGGCCAGTCTTAGCAACATAAAACCTTGTCTCAAAAAACAAAAGAAAACAAAAAACAAAACCAACCAATCAACCAAATGAAAAAACAAAAAGGGGAAATAAGGTAAACTGCCAAAACATTCGGGTTTATGATCTGCAACTTTTCTAAATGTAACAAATTTAACAATCTTAACATTACTGGGGGTGGGGTGCTGGTGGTGGTATAATGGACACAATGTCGCCTTTAATATTCAATTTAAAAAATTTGTGTGTCTGTGTGAGTTGGTGTTTGTGTGTGGGTAATTCAAGTGCTTGCAGATGCCTCCTGATGCCAGAGGTGTGAGATCTCCTGAAGCTGGAGTTATAGCTGCTATGTGGGTGCTCAGACCTCAAACAAGGCTCTTAACCAGGGAGCCATTTCTCCATACCCCTAAAATTATTAAAATAAAAATTAAAAAGTCGGGTTGGAGAGATGGCTCAGAGGTTAAGAGCACTGGCTGCTCTTCCAGAGGTCCTGAGTTCAATTCCCAGCAACCACATGGTGGCTCACAACAACCTTGAATGAGATCTGGTGCCCTCTGCTGGCGTGCAGGGCACATGCAGACATTAGACTGTATACTTAATAAAATTTTTTTAAAAAAATTAAACTTGTATGTTTCTAAAACCTAAATAAAACCTGCCATTTACAGACTATTTATGTATGCATTTTTATTCTTCCAGAGTTACCGGGTCCAGCACTCTCTTCTTCTGGCCACCTTGGGCATCAGCCACACATGTAGTATATAGCATACATACAGATAAAACACTCATACACATTAAAAAAAAAAAAAGGGGGCCCGAGGTGCTAGCACACGCCTTTACTCCCAGCCCTCGGGAGGCAGAGGTGGGCGAATCTCTGAGTTCGAGACCAGCCTGGTCTACAGAGTTAGTTCCAGGACAGCCTCCAAAGCCACAGAAAAACACTGTCTGGAAAAAAAAAATTTCAAACATCGCCTGGGCTACATAAGAACCTGGCTCCAAAAGAAAAATTAAAAAAAAAAAAAGGAAAAAAGTTTAAAAATCTAACACAACATGGATTGAGAACCAATGGTGTACATAGCACAGAACAAGTTTTGAGTCCAATAGTCACAGGTTCATTAAAGTTTCACCGAAAATCAAAACATAATTAATGGTTATCTAATGCATATGTTGGAAAGAAAAAAAAGTAAATCAAACATCCCCCATTGAGTACTAAAATTATTTTGTGTATAAAATGATATGAATATGAGGTCAGAAAACAATTCTGTGGTTCTCTCATGCTACCTTGTGTGATCCATAGATGATACTCCTGTCATCAGGCCTGTGCACACAAAAAAATCTTGAGATCTGCCTGCCTCTGCCTCCCGAGTTCTGGGACTAAAGGCGTGTGCCACCACCACCCGGGTGTTTGGAAGTTTTTTAACCTGCCTCAGTAATCCCAAACGAGATGATTACCTGTGTCCTACCACAGTGTAAAAACAATTTTATGCTGGGAAGACTCAAATGGACTCTTCGCTATGACAGGATCGCTTCCGAAGACAAACCATCCGTTCCACATTTTGAAGGAGAAACAGTATTTATAAAAGCAATCTACTTACACTTTTTTTTGTTTTTGTTTTTTGTTTTTTGTTTTTTTTTCTCGAGACAGGGTTCCTCTGTGTGTTGTTCTGGCTGTCCTGGAACTCACTCTGGAATTCGGGGAATGCCCGCACACCCCATGTACACGTCTACATTTGCCTTTCCCCACCAACAATCAGTGCCTCAACACAATCCTGTCTTGGAACTTTACTTTTTCTAAGAACACAACTCTTACAAAACCAGACCCCCCTTTTATGCTTCACTTAGTGAAGTCTCTTTTGTTGTTGTTTTTGATTTCCAGACAGGGCAGAATTCTCTGTGTAGCTCTTGCTTTCCCGGAACTCGCTCTGTAGACCAGGCTGGCCACGAACTGACAGAGATCCACCTTCTTCTGCTTCCTGAGTGCTGGGATTTGAAGGCGTGCGCCACCACCGCCAGGCTCACTTGGTTCTAAGTCTTACGAAAGTTGCCCAGACCCGGTCGGTAGCTGGCACAATCATAACACTTCTATAACTTACTTTACCATACCCTTAGGATTGTCTTCGGTGGAGTGTTAACTCTGGGAATGCAGAGACTTGCTTTTCCTAACTCCCTGTTACATCCTTTTTACACAGTTCGTTTCCAATACACGTTGTTTACAGAATAACCAAAACGGCTTTTTTTTTTTTTTTTTTTTTTTTTTTTTTTTTTTTTTTTTTTTTTTTTTTTTTTTTTTTTTAAGAGTTGCGGTCCAAAGCTCAATGCGCAGTCTAGATCAGTGCTGTCAACCTTTGGGTCTCGATCCCGCCCGGCGCGGGTCGGGTGGGTGTCAAAGGACCGTTTCGTACGGGTCGCCTAAAACCATCGGGAAACATAGCGATGTTACGATTCAGAAGGGTGCCAAAATCAGTTATGAAGTAGTAACTAAAATAACTTCATGGTCGGGGGGATCAGCACGACAGGAGGAACTAACTCCATCCGAGGGCCGCGGCGTCAGGGAGAGAACTGCTGATCTGGATGCAGGCTGTCGGGCTCGGAGACCCGAGTTCT